TTCAGGTTAAGGAGAGTTCTATTAACTGCAAAGCGTCCTTCTTTTCCACCAAGAGATTGCTTTTTCAACGCTCTTTGGATGGCAACGAACGCTCGACTCCTGGCGGCCGCCATCTTGGAACTGTTACCGCGATGTTTTGTGACAGCGGCTAACATAGACACCAGTCTCCTCGCGGATTTTTAGGATTTCCCGCGATGAGTGCGACATTCAAAACAGGAAATTAATTTACTAGTAAGTATGATAAAGGAGGATTTACTGATGTCATATTATCGTAATGATACTTGTGCATATACAGTACATTGTGGTATTGTGCAGCCATCCCTCCTCATCCTGAGGATGAAAGTCAAAAGGGGTCTTCTTGGTGTAGCAAGCTTTACTGTACATGTATTTTGGTTTAGGGTCTTTGTATTGCAGGGTATCAATTGTTTGGCTTCAAACTCGTTGTTTGTGGCTATTGTTATTTGTCTTCATTAACCCTGAATGATGACCCCAGCCTTGGGAGTCTACTGACTTACAAGATCTTACAAGATAAGTCTCATCTTGCAGGAATGATATATGATGTAGCTAGATAAACAGATCTTGCAAGAATGTTATATGATGTAGCAAGTTTGCAAGATCTTGCCTGATCTTAGATTGGATCTTTTTAAGATTTTACYAATTTCTTGCCAAGTTTTTTAKTCTTACAAGTTTATCTTTGAGTACTCTTAACACCTCTAACTCTGCATTCTAATGTACCCAACTATTTTTCTTGTGAGAGGAAAAGTTATGGAGGGATATTATGGCAGAAGAGGAACAAAGAGCTTGGGAAATTAAACCCCTTTCCTACTCCCCCCTCCCAAAAAAACACAGTTTGCAAGAGAAAAACTCTCCCTTGATTCAAGGGCTTTTCTCTGTGGTTCTAATTCAATCTGTGAGTTAGCCATGCCTYGACTTAGATCAGCCCAAAGGTTGTTTCAGAGTTTGATCTGTGAGTTATACTGTACATACCCTGATCAACCCAGAAGTTGTTTCAGGGTTGATCTGGGAGTTAGCCATGCCTAGACTTTGATCWGCCAGGAGGATATTTCAGTGTATCAATAAAAACTTGAAATTTTTATAGACTGCCACAATGTTAATTCCTTTCTTTGTTACTYTTGTTTAGTTCCAAAATCATATAAATACTTGCAATATAAAAGAACCATTCATGCTACATTGTTCTTAATATTTCTAGTTCAAGAATTAACTCGCTTCTTTTTCTTGCCATGGTTTTGTTTTTCTAGTTTCAGGCCTCGGTACTCTTGATGGACAAGGAACTTGCCCTGGTTTTTCACATATGCAATAACAATGGCCATATTTGCCAAAATTTGCTGGGTTGATTCGTCCAGGATACTTGGGTTGCCTTCGGATCTGAAGCTCACTGTAAGTATCACAAAAATATAATCATTGCCCTGGCCATTAAGTCATGTATATAACTGAGTACATATAGGGGTACAGAAAGATGGCTCACATAGCTAAAAATAGCTCTAAATGACTTTGGAAGGCAGTAAAAAACTTTTTTTTTACAATTTGTCATATTTTTAAGAAATACTTATATTTGAGCTTCAAATATACTGCTTGGGCTGCCTATAGACAGCATGGAAGAATACAACATAGTTCTTGATCAATAGACATGCACATAAACCATACCTTTCTGTAGCTCCAGCCACTTTATCAAATATGTCCAAGATTTCAGGACCTTTCTTATTTTCAACATCAATCAGAACTTTACGTCCATCGCCTAAACAGATAACAATACGATTTAGCTTCTGTTATATGCATATATTCAATCTATAATTATATTTGTATCGATGGTTTGAAATTATAATAACTCATTGGGAGAATATATGGTTGTGAGAAAACATATTATGTATTGGCCATAATAGTGAAACAAGGAAGCCAATATTTTCTTTCAGTGCTGTCAATATAAACCATATTGGTGACTCCAAATTGCAATATTAAGTATTGTATTGCAAGTCTGTTATCATGTGGTAATTCTAAGCTGACAATATAGATTAATATTGGTGGCTCTCTCCTGGTCAAACTTATAAGAGAATCATGATACTTCCCAAGCTGGAGTTAAATAGCAAAGTCCTGGGGGATGTTAGTGCTATTAACAAAGGAGGCTTATGAGAACTATTCTGATAAATATCAACCAACATGGCAATGATG